AGCTGTCACTGTTCATGTAGTTACACGTGGAGATTTATGTTAAACTTTGTATTTATTTACTTTATGAATTCAAATAGTAATACTTAAATAATGTAAGTAATATGTAAGTAACACTTGCTTACATTCCACTTGGGAATCTCCAAAAGCTTTATTAACGTAAATCAGAAAGTAGCATAGCTGTAAACAAGAACATGAAAATGATATGAAGTATCACAAACACACATGTAGTATACCTCTACTAAAAAAAACGCTGATAACATGGCAGATATAACTGTCCCATTCTTGATCTCACAGATGGCAGGAAAATCCACTGGAAACAACACTCAGTTAATATTTGCCTGCATTATCATCAACAATTTGTGGCTTTCAAGGAGTGTTTGTTTTTTTTTTTTTTTTAATCTGATGGACTGGTTTAGGAAAAGGAGAACAAAAAATTGTGAAAAAAAATGAAGCTCAAAGCACGTTAGTTTAAATTATACTGCTTTACTAGTATTTCCTTAGAAACACATACCAATATGCAAAGTCTTTTGGTAATGGAATAACACAATTTCTATGAAATCTAAAAAGATAGGGAAACATAAATATGCTTTTTCACTTCCTGACAATGCGCTAAAAAAGCCATTTTTTTCCCTTGTTTTTTTTTCAATCTTCACAAATTTTGTTATTTTGGACTTCAAAGGACTGTTAAATTTAAGAACAGGCATACTTTCTCACAGGTACTTTCTCAAGTATTTCAGAGAGAAAGATAGCAAAAATGAACATGTCTTCTGGACTTACATTGATATAAATGCCATTGCGAATCTGGGTCAAAGATTCAAAGTTTTTTTTCTTTCAGATTTAACCCTCAGGCCTTTTATTAACATTGTTTCAAAGTAAAATAAATATTTACTGTTTCTGATACTCTGTCTCAAGCTAATTGATGCAAGAATAAAAGAGTGTGGTTTAGTAGTTTGTTAAATATCTCAAGTGATACAAAATACGTACATGCTTTGCAGACTGTGTGCCATGCAGTTTCCTTTTACATCTGCTTCCATTTGTTATTAAGTACATGCAAAATAAAAAGAAACTAAACCCAAGGTTCTTGTTGATTATATCGATTCCTTGCGAATTTCGATAAAATAAAATGTAGAGTTATTGCCAGTGTGATTTTGTTCTCCTCTCTTTGTATAAACTAGCTCAGACTGTTTCCAATTTTAAAAAATATACATTATTTCAGAGTTTGGTAACTATCACTAAGTATTTATTCAACTCACTAATATTCACTCTTGAATAATAAGATGAAACATTTATCTAAAATAAGATTATGAGTGTGTTTTTCATAATATATATCTCAAAGCAAGTCATGCTCAGTGACAATCACAACTTTATCACACCATCTTTTATTAACACAAACATCTTTGGTTGTTAGAGCACAAAAATTTAAAAGGATTAAATGATTGAACAGCATTGTGTATCGTCTTTGGGTTTAGCTCAGCCTCCACGTAAATAGGCTTAGTGTTGTCATTGAGAATTACACCCATTTGTGCCAGAGATTAACATGCCAGGGTCTCTCCCTCTGAAATTACAGCTCCATTCTAAAGATGCAGATTCTTGCTACAGTTATTTTCTCTTCATTTTAAGTAAATGCACATTTAACTACAGGCTGCACTAGTAGTTTGTGGGGATGGAGATTAACCCTGAAATGAGCACAGAAGATTCAACTCTGCTCCACTTCAGAGTAAAAACTGTTTCTCAGAGGGATTGTCACCCACATGCAAGCACTGGAGTGCAAACCTCCTCCTTGAAATGCCTCACACTGCCTTTTCACTTTTCCACCCACCACTCTTTCTCATCTTCTCACTGTTGAGCGTAATCAATGTCGTTGGAAACTAAGCTGCCCGATTCCTCAGAATGACATCTGACTATTGTGTTTAATAGGGTATGCAGCAAACAGAGCCATTAAAAATGGCAAAGCTTTTCCTAGTGTAGAATAAAAGACTAGTGGTAGGTTTGGATTCTCTAAACCCATCTGCTAAATCCTACGCTGCACAAGCACCCTTTTATTCAAGTTCAAAGACGCAGCTCCTCCATTTAAAAAGCACTTGTTACTTGGGAGGAAATGGAAGCTAGAGTGTGCCTGACACTAAAGAAAGAAAAAATGAATGTTGGCTCTGCAATGAAACCCTCCAATACAGCCAGTCTGACCCAAGCATAATTAATCAATTGTCTGCTCTTTTAGCAAACCAGTTACTTTTATTCTTTGGCTTTTGGCTTGTCCAAATGCCAGTTTACAGTGATATTGTCATGACAGGAAAATGTGGCAAGACTGATGTCTCTCTTGCTCTCTCTCAAGCACTGTACTGAATTTGTCATTCTGAATAAAATACTAACTGCTGTATGATTGCTACAGGACTACATGTTGTCATGCCAATTAGTATGTTCCCTTTTTTTCTACTTTTCTTCCCTCTATCTGTTTTTAATTCAGTAAACTGTACCTCCTAGATCCATTTTGTATTCAGGTTTACTCTCCAGCTCTAATGCCGAGCAATATTAGGATATCACAAAATGTAATGAGAAAGGTTGTGGGATTGTTGGGGGTTTTGTTGTTTTTTTTTTTTGTTTTGATTTTGTTTTTTTATTGCAGGCATTTTAGAATCTTAAACAATAAATATCCAGATTTTCCCTTTCACGTGCACATAAAAATGGAAGAATCTAATATAACCCATTTTTGGTAACTCACCAATCTTTTAGCCTTGTGAATATTGTGATTCCCTGTATTTTTATAGGGCACGCTGTATATATTTATCAGTGTCGGGATGTTGCTTACCAACGTGACTAATTTACCTTGCTTTTTGTATCGTGTAAAAGGATAAACTAGACTTTCTAAATACTAAAATATAATTTTATATGCCCTCTTCACATTGTCTAACATTCATTTCCCTAACCTACCTTCATAGGAAGTTTTTTCATGTCTCTAGGAATTTTCATCTATTTCCACTGCATCTTTTTTCTATCTGGACAAACTACAGAGACCACACATTGGATTTATGCAGTAGCTACAGAGCATCCTATTTTTACATCACATTTGTAACTATATAGCATTATATTTTTACATCATATTTATAAATTACATTTTGGTTGTTTTTATAACTAGCAGCATACACCAACTCTGTGTTTTTAATGAAATTAAAAGTTAATTTAGTATCAATACACAGGAATGCTCAGATCATTCTGTGAGCATTTATTAAATTGTGTATGTAGTCAGTGGGTTTTAGTCATTATTAAACTAATTCACTTGCTTTTTTAATCTTTCACGTTTCCTTCAAAATTGTAGTAACCTGACCAACAAACCATCCTCTGAAAATGGGACTATCTTGTTGCTAACTCCTTTTGCACAGTAACAATTGACAAGATACCTTTGGCTAACATTAAGTATGTGAAGCTTTGTAACATGAGTATTAGGTTTGATATTATTGATTATGTACATTATGCCTCAAATAACCTAAATTTTCAGCCTCTTGGATGAGTGTTGCTCTACAACTGTGTTTTAAAATAACAAACATATTACTTCTCTAAACTGTCATAATCCCAAATAAAGCCTATTCTGCTATTTTCCTTTAAAATTGTATTTCTAGTTTATACCAATTCATTTAAGTTCTGTTGAACAGATGCAAGTATAACAGCAAGTGAGACTGGGAGGCACTTCCAGGTGATAATCTACAGATATGGTCTTGATTTAAATGGGACAACATCGGAACATATGGAGTAAATTTAATTGTCCTACCTTGATTGAACACAATCAGGATGCAGACACTTCTGTTATTCTTTTGTATTTGCTTCCCAGGAGCTTAGGAGTGTAGCTTCTGTCACTATAGAGTTTTACTTGAAAAAAGGTAAAAACATTGCTCCCTAAGGAAAAAGCAAAAGCAGGTGTATCATAAACCTGCCTGCATTGTTGCAAACATGTGCATAGCACATATATACTACAAAAATGAAACTTTCCATCTTTGTAATAAATTGAAATACATGGTGCACATATGGATGAAAGACAAAGCCTATAATATTCCACTAAGATGTGAAAATACAGTACCACTTGGGAGAAAGACTTTGAAGATAGGTCTTTACACCTCCAATCCTTACCCCAATTTCTTTGTTTACCCAGGTTTCACCCTACTTCTGTGATAGATCAGTTCCCTTTTTATTCTTGCCTCCTTCATTTCATTTCACTCATTTCTAGGCCCACCGTCCTCACCCTGCTACATTGTCTTGTTATACATCTTCGCCCTATATGGTGCCCTTGGTGTTCTGTTCCTCAGGTCCCTATTCCATTCTGCATCCCATTCTTCTTACTTTGTCAGTCCATCCAAGCTTCCTTCTTATCCCAGTTCCCACAGGAAACACTCACTCTTTCTCTTGTCTGCCTTTAAGCTACATTTTCATCTTCCTCCCCTCCTGTCTGTATGGCTCTTGCTTTCAAATCAGTCAAGTTCTTCTTTTAGTTGCTTGGTACTAACAAAGAGTGGCAGATAGTCACTGGACAGAGAGTGGACCCTCCTCAGCTCAAAGGTCAGACCAGGCAGGATTTATATGCCTGGACCAGCAGGTATGACAAAGAACCTGCTATAATGCTCATGGCAGCTCATGTAGTTCTGACTGCCTATATACTAACTGTAATTGTGTTTAGCAGACTTAGACTTGTCCAGTTTCTGGCTGATTATCAAGAGAAGGGCAACTGGCACATAACTGATGTAAAAAACCCTTCATGGCCAATCTTTGTTCCAAACACGGAGAGAAGTTTACAGATACTGAAAGGCCAAGTGACCTGTATTATTAACAGTAGCAATGTTTAATATTTTTATAATATGCATATATCGTTTATTTCCAAGGTTGTTCAATCCCCCATTATGAAGATGCTCTATGAAGAAGAAATGATTTATATATGAACTTTCTACTATTATCACTGCCATTACAAACAGCATATTCTAAGGTATTATTTGGCTTAAATTAATTTAAAAACACAGTCAATACCACTATATTTATTTAGTATCTAAACAATTCATTGCATTCACACAAAAAGAAAAAGCAATCTGTTCTGTACAGAAGGAAATGAAACTATCTTGCTTCAATTCTAGAAATAAGCCAGCCAGCAAACTTTACTGCAAATGTTTGTATATATAGCTCCTGTGGAAACTGCTTAATTGTCTACCATGCACAGGGAGAAGGAGAAATGAGGCATATGTCAACAGATCAAAGAGCACGCCAGAGCAGTGAATAAAGTTCACACAAATCAAAATGAAGTAGCAAAATTTATGTTAAGTGATTTCTATTGGTGTTTAATACAAATTTCAGAATGGTTTGTTAGAAATTTTTAGTCACTATTAAACAGCAGACTCTACAAATTAGCTGAGTTGCAACCAAAAGACAAAACAGAAAACGCAGTTTCCAATACAAGAAATTTTTCCTTAGTGTCACTAGAGTTCATGCTGTCTCCCCATCTGCCCTGCATTTTGGTTGTCCTCTTCAGGTTCAGTGGATTTGCAGATACTGTACAAGCACCTGCCTTGGTTTTGCTGGAAAACAAACATTTTTTATATGAGTTAACTGTGAGTGACTTGATACTTCAGAATTATTGTTGGAAAAAAGGTTGGTCACTTTCTTTACTTTATACCTATCTTGTACTTGCTTAAAAACTAAGCAAAATCTAAAACAGTAAGTACCATTCTCATCTACCCCTGTACATAAACATAATGCAATACCAGTGGAGATGGGCAAAAAGTACACACTATTGTTAAAGCAACCCAAAGCCAAAGAAGCCAAAGCTCAATTCTAACAAGATTTTCTCTAATTGCCATTTGTATACATTCACAAGTTGGCTTTACCAGAACAGGAAGTCATGCTAAATCCCACCACCGCCACCACCCCTGCCAGTCATTTGCAACTAACAGTTAAAATGCTTAGTATTTCTATAATGTGTACTTCTATAAATTTATATAATTAGAGATTTCAGGTACATATTTGATTAAAGAAGTAACTTCAGATTTCAAAAGTGAAACAGCCTTTTTCTATACTGGTCACAATTTGTTTGTAATACCCTAATTTTTTTTTCACCCAAAAATGATTAGCAATAAACCATTTTAAACTGTATTTCCTATATAGTTGTCTGTGACTCTCATCTTTCTTTTATTTCAGTAGTTCTACTTGCCTTTTTCTTACCAGTACTGTAACATTAGTTTTCCCAATTAATACAAAGAATTTAAAAGTATTTTAAAAACCTGTGATGGATTCAGCTTTTTGAAAACTGAAATGTCACAAAGCTAAAATACAGAAAGTTCTACTCAGATTCAAAAGTTCTTACGGGGAACGATGTCTCTGTCCATTTCTCCTTCTACCAAACTTACAATTGTTCAGAATAGTTACAGTACACTTTACAGTGTATATTCTGCACTTAGAAATAGTAGCTGATCTTATTACTTCTAAAACAGACACCATTGTTCTAAAAGAGGCAGCCAATACTTATGCTGCAAGGTGTGGAAGAGAAACAGCCAATTTTGCTCAAGGCCATATGAGAATTAAGGGTCTGGTTTCTTCCGATGTCACATTTTTGTTAAACTAACAACAGCATATTAAAATCTTGCCAGAATCAACATATCAGTGTGAGAGCCAAAGCAAACATTTAATTAGCCTCTACACATGGAAAATCTACATCACACACATGAATAAGACCGCACGATGCTCAAGAGCTTATCATTACCATCACTCCCCTGGAAAGTTCTACAACTTAAAATGCTTTGTACTTGACTAAGAGCTATGCATACTCAGAAGGCATGACTAATAGCACAGGGTAGCAACCTAATTAAAACATAAGCAGATATTTATTTACATTTCCCATGCAGATGCTACAGTCTCTTAAGATTTAGGGTTTGAAGAAACACAGCTATGTTTTAACCTTTGATTTATAACACAAGAGTTTTATTTCAGGTTACAATAATGCCATTGCTAACCAAAGCTTCCTAAGCCATCTAATTCATAAAACAGCATCTTACTCTAATGGGAGTTTAGAATACACCAGAAATGCAGGATCAGATCTTATCTTCAAAGACCTCTTACTGCACCTCATTCTTGAAACAGATCTGGGTTTAAGGAAATTAAGCAGGTCCCTCATCTTGTCAAAGAGGATAAAGATACTTAGCATCTAAACTTAGATATTTTTTTTTTCTAGAAGACAATCAGTTCTACTTAGCTTAGTAGCTAACAAAAATATGGGTTGTCAGCTGTGACACTCTTACCCTTCAGACTAAAACAAAAGCAAGAAAAGAGACTGAGAGTGTCAGTATATTAATGATACTCAAAACCACATGCATGTTGTAAATTACATGCACTCTATATCCTTGTTGAAGTAAGAGATTTATTTTATTCATTCCCCTGTTTCTTGTCCTCTCCTCCGTGTGGCTAATTGATTGTAAAATTACATTTAAATAGCAGAAGTGGCATCTTTAAATACTTTAATTACTAGGGTCAATACAAAAACATTATGTCTTTTTTCTAAGACTCGAGCCCTAAGAAATAAATCTCTCTTTGTAGACAACAAAAACATCTCAGCTGCCATAAAGATCACCATTTTAGTGTGATTACAATACTCTATAACAATATTAATAAAATGTACTCTGACCACACTTTTTGCTCCTCCCTCTAGTGTATCTGACATATAAAAATAATCCTTGTATTTATCCAGACAAAAGTTAACTATTTGGTTTCAGCACTATTTTGGTAATTCTTTTCTACATGGTGTTCAGTTTACAACCTACAGCACTTTAAATATTATGTGTGTGCCACTAAACCTGCAGAAACTTGAGTTCAGCATGTTTCTGATGAGCATGTAGATGGAAAGTGGAGACTTCAGAATAAAGCAATCACAGTGAGGATGCCAGTCACTGACTATTCTGGTACCTATGCATATCACATACAGTTAGTATGAAATGATAACTTACATGCAAATCAGAAAGAGATTTTGTCTTCATTATTTATGCACGAAGAAATTTCCCCCCAAAGAGGAAATACAGTTGCAAGACAAACAGTGGTTAAGAGACATGACTCAGAAATTAACAGCACAGCTTGTAATGATAGTGAGAACAGATACTCTGTTTCTCTAGATCTCTGAAACAATTATGCTTCAGTCTAAAACTTTTTACATATTGTGAATTTGAACAAGATACACGCTTATACTTATTGACTATTCATATTCAATGAAGTAAAACAATGCCTGGTCACAGTTATGAATGATTAATGCATATATCTTTATTGCATATAAAGCAGAAGTCAGAAATGCTTTTTTCCAGATCATTTACACACACACATACACACACACACACACACAGTTATGAAAAAAAAAAATCAGGAAAAGGTTTTCAGTTCAATGTATTTTTCCGTTTCAGTGGCTAACGCAAGATTTATAGTAAATATACGTACTTGAATTTGCTTTGGTTTCTGGAGTTCATGGTACGATTATCTATAAGGGTGCCTTTCAGTGGTTTCTTCAGCATTATTCCAAGATAGCTGCAATGGTTTTTGGAACTTGCTTTGTATCCAAACTCGCTGCATTTTCACTTTTTTCTTCCTGTTTACTTGTAATCGTCGATCAACTAAATTCTGTACTTCAGTTAATCCAGCCAAGTTGAACATGTTCCATACCTCATCTATTTTCTCATATGAAGAATTATTGGAATTAAAAAAAAAAAAAAAAAGGCATTTGTGGAATGTAGTAATTAACAACTGGCAGTTCAACCAAAGATGGAACTAAATCTGTTTTGTGATTTGAAAGATCAAGGAAACTGTCCATTTTTTGTTAGAAGTCTTTTGTTAGAAATTAATTTTCACAGCTCTAGCTTATATTACAGTAAAAAATTGTTATGTTGAATCCCAAACCACATTGGTTATTACTTATGACACATTCATAGATCCCCTTTCTTCAGAGGGTTCAGTATGTCACAGTTGAGAAAAACAAACGCATGCCATTTGGTCACTGTTGGCATATTATCGAGATAAAGCTATTTCACCTGCCAAATGACAATCCACATCATTATCTCCTTATCAGTCACCACTGGAAAACTTTAGGCTTCTTTCTTATGAGTAAGCACAAAAAAGGACATCTTAAAATTGAGAAGGCTCTTTGAATTCAAGTGATTTTCCATACATGTCCGAGATCCATCTTCTCACTTCTAGAATTACTCAGGCTGAGATAAATCCTGATCTACCTCTATTGTTTGCAGTGTAGGTTGCAGAGGGTAAAAGTAAAACAAAAAAAGTATTGTGATGCTCACTTTCACAATTTCCAGTAGCTGGGCTAAAATATACCAGTCTGAGCTGACAACAGAACCAAGTGAATGAGCAGGTAAAGAGCAATGGTATCCACAATTAGGAATTTAAGTTTAGTTCCTGCAGAGAGAGCAACTTCACAGCTCAGATTCACCAATTCAGCAGAACAAAATACCAGAGCACTGCTACTGTCCTTCCAAGCATGTTTATTTTAATTTTAAGAAAGAAATCAAGTACCTCTTTAAATAACAGAATTTGAGCATACACAAGATGGTTAGACAAAAATAAATTTCCAGTGATCTCTGTAAGCAATCTTGCAGGGCCCCAGATGCAACAAGTGTACAAATAAAAGGAATTCTTTTCTTACAACAGTTAGCTATGGGCCTTGTAAAAGCAGAGAATTAAAAAACAAACAAAAAAAACAAAAAAACCCCAACCAAACACAAACAATAAAACCTTCTTTAAATTTCTGTTCTAAGATGAGCTTTTATAACCCAAATCATCTTGAGAGACATTCCTTCTATAAAACTAAACCATTTCATACCTTTGGTAAAGAAATATACTCTGGTTCCATCTCCTCGTACATAAAAATTTTCTGACAAGCAATGACCTAAGAAATTAGAGCAGTATTGAAAAAGGATGACACTTTTTTTATAGAGTTAAAATGAACACTGAACTACAAAAGCATTCCGAAATTACCTTTTTTAAAACGAAGTTGAGCTGTATCATATCTTCCATAGTCTCGAAATAACAACATTCCTCCAGGTTTCAGTAGTTTAGCCAACCTATTTACAACCCCTTGCATCCTTAGAAAATAGATGGGACACTGGTGACATAACTGTTTCTTTCTAGATACTTGGATCAGGAAGAACTCTTTACAAAAAAGCCTCTAAACCAAAAATTTAAAAGGAATTTGTAAGAGAATACAAACTGGAAAGAGAAAAGGAGCCCTCTTCCTTCAGTTCAACAGAATCTCAGGGACGGATTAAAAGCACAGCTTTTGAGTATTTGTGTCATATGGGTCAGCCAGATATATGACAAACAATGAATGAACGGTTAGTTATGTGCATTGGTGAGCTAAGCTGAGCCTTCTTGAGGTACGTAGCAAAATCAAGGGCCTGGAAGACAGACAAAACTTACTTGATTTCTTTATGGAGTTACTGATCATACGCACAAAATCCAACTAAATGGAAAGAAGAATCTGAGTAGGATCTCAGGAGAGGAATCTGGCAGAACTCCATATGGAGATATTGCCAGTTAGAGGAAGAAAGTCTGCATCCTCCAAAATGCTGACAAGTTTGTGAATCTTGGTGGTATCTAACATCAACTCTTCCTTATTAAGATTACACAAGCCTGCTGTATGTATGATAGGAATAAGTACCATACACAGTACTCCTTCTCCTTCACCATACCAGAGCACCTTCATTCTCACTTTTAATCTTATCTCAGAGCTTCTTATAAATACATTTGTGTTACTCTGCAAAATACGTTACTAATGAATAATGGCTTGGGTTTGCCTCATTCTTTCAGAATAAACTGAAGGACTCAGGTTTTCCACATCATGAAAGATCACTAAAGGCAGGCTGAAAGGTAAAACAGTCCACTTGCCTAGTTCAACCCTTCCTCCCACAGGGAAGTGGACTGGCCATGCAGAAGATATGGAGCCAGAGTGAATGCTAAATGAATGGAAAGCCAGGGTGCTGTATCTGAAAAGAGCTAAAGAAGAGTAAGTCCTACTTAACTCTACAAAATCAGCATACCATTACTGTGTACCAAGAGATCATCTTTACACCACCCCTGTCTCTCAGGTGGCCTTACCCCCTTGCCCCAAGAATGTCAGAACCCAAGCACTAACACAGTTTGGTCCTTATACAACAGCAGTGCAGGCACCTTACCTTGACTTCTAAGGGACAGAATTAGAAGGAAGTTCAGCAGAAAATATTATATTTCTAAACAAAAAAAACAAGAATATAAAGTAGCATACACTTTTTAAGCATGGAATTCTCTCAGGGGAAGCCAAGTGCTTTAAAAGTTGTCCTCTTCACTCATGTTCAACACAGGCAACCAAGTGTGCTGTCACAGACAGAAAAGGCAGCACCGTCTAAGAATAAGAGACTGTTCAAGGCAGGCAGTTGTGCACGGATTTACAGACTACCTATATAAACATAAGCTTTGTGCACACAGAAAAAATGTGCATGCACAAAAAGTGAAAGTGCTTTGAGGAATTTCATCCTGTAGGACTAGAGCACATTAATTATATATCTTGAAGAAAGTTAAATACATTTTAAATTCTGCCGCCAACTTCTAGAGGGGACTTCTAGCAGAATTGAAGTGTGTTAAAAATAGAAGAATAGCAGTTATCAAAAACTAAACACAATACTCTGAAGAGAAATCACTAAATAACAGTTATCCTGAATACAAATGTGCCCCTCTCATGTATATCTTCCAGTTCCCCTAAGTACGTAAGCTCTGCATCATCATTCTCTTGGTTTTCTTTTTCATTCCCCACTTTCAAAGTTTCCAGAAAAAGTGTATACTGAGAAAGATGGATCTGGATTATATTTGCCTTCACACAGTCATTTTAATTCTGAGATGACAGTAATGACTAACGAATCTTTGGAAAGTGGGTCTTACAACACAGAAAATTACACAGAAATCTTTAGATACGTATACAGACACACACAAAAGCATCCATGTCAGCCTTTAGATGCTGATATGGGGAGGAAAAAAAAATAGGAGACATTTCAAATGACTAACAGGAAAAGATCCACAGAAATTCTGACAGAACATCTGATTACTGCTTCTAGAGGCAAAGAGATTGAATGAATGCATCTCTATTGTCCAATTTCTTCCTGGCAGCATCACCACAGTTACAGAGATATGAAATCTACTGCTTGAATTGTTTTTGAAATCTGGACCCAGGCTTTGCATGACTCACGTGCTCATCTCTGAACAAACAGGAAGAAGCAATATCCTATATGGGAAAGATTTTTCTGTGAAGCTAATCATTAATAACTTAGGCAGGGAGGCAGGAAAACAGTTCTCAGACTTAGACAAATGCTGTTCTGTTTGCCAAGCCCATTTTAATGACATTCTAAAAGTAATAAATGTATTACCACAAATACAGCATGTATTTCCCTTCATATGATCTAGTTAAAGTAAGAGTCAAGGAGTTTAGCTTACATGCTCTCTTTGCATTTTTGCATTAAAAAGAAAGGGCATTTTCACAATCAGCCAGCCTTAACAGTCAAAGTTTGGTTCACTGGACATTGAATTGCATTGGTAACAAGGCTAACAGCTCTCTATGCATGAAAATTTGATCAAGTTTTCTCAATCTAAACAAGTTACAAAATTCTGAATGCATTTTGGTTTCAAAGCCTGCATGTAAGCATTTGCGTGTGGCTAAATCAGCAACCTAAGTCTTTATCAACATATTTTAAGGTGTTAAATAATGAATGTTTGATTTTGATCGCTAAGAATAATTTCCTTCTAGAAGACTAGCAGTCTGTTTTTTTAATTTGTAATTTTCTTGAATCACTGCCACTTTTAATAGGGATGTATCTAGTTACAATATACTCCTTGTATTTTGATGAAGACAGGAGGCTCACTAATGAATTAGCCTGACCAGCTTTTCTCTTGAAGCCTGAAAATGGGAAACAGCATTTAAAATACCTTGTTTTATATATATCGTAGCTTACTAAATAATAAATTAAAGACTCATCATCTTCTTTTGCTATTCCTGAAAACCTCCAGTGATAAAAGAGATTTAACCCATTTGCTTTGCCCTTTAGTCTTCATTTACCTGTCAGGATGAATAGTAGAGAGCACAAAGACAAGGAGAATGACATCCAGGATCTCATCTGGAAAAGGATAGGGTAAAGCATCATCACACACATCATGAACAAAGGCAGAACACCAGGCTGAACTGTAGGACGAATGTGACTGTCAGGAAAAAGATGAAAAGAGGCACAGAGAGAACAGTAGTAGTTAATACGTTTACTATGACTCAAGAAACTTTTTTTCTTCAATTATTCAGCATTGTAAAACATCTCATATAAAAGCCTATTCTGTCTGGTATCTTACTCAAGCTGAGAAGCAAGCTCACTGATGGTATTCATTCCTCTCTGCATAGAGTAAGACTTTGTTCTTTGGAATATTGAAAACTTCAGTTAAAAGTTGTCAAAGCCATCACATTCTTTTTCATGAAGACGGCTTCCTGGCAGCCTCCTGAATTACAGGCTTATAAGGTACTCTAAAGAGAGCACATGAATTACCTTTACCAGCTCCACTGCTCCTGAAGCAAAATCACAACAGTACAGAAAGGTTCCAGGTGTATTGCTAGGAAAACAAAACCAACATCAGTTAAAAAATTATTATTGTAAAAGATGAAAGTCTACATCAGTGTTCATGGAACTACAGAGGGCCCTTTGGGGTTCTCCACAGGTTTGATCAAGCATGTCTTATTGATGTCTAGCACATGGAAAGCCACATACGTTGTAATGAACCAATAGGGCAGACAAATTCATAAGAATACCAACAGGCAGTTAGTATAAAAAGGAGAATTATAGCCTTGTCAGGGAGGAAGTGAAAAGGAGAAGAAAAAAGGTCACAGAGGGCTGTCAGGATTGATGACAATGTCCCGGTGTTGCATTACATAAATGCACATTAATAGGTCACATTTTCTTAGAGAAGCACTGCATTACGTCTCTGTCATTAGCTCATGTATGCAGTTTAATTAGCAATATGATTTGGGCAGGGGTGGGGTGTTGCAAAAGTCATCCACAGTACTGTAAGAGGTTTGGATTCCCATGTGCCATCTTGCTGTACTTTTGATTAGATTAAAGCAGTATGGGTTGTTTCCCTCCATTATCCCCCTTTGTTTTGTAATCCAGGATGAATAAGAATTTCCTGTAGCACTGTTTTCTCTTCCTTTCCCATCCAAGCCAGCTGAAAATTTCCTCATACCATTCATCAGATACTGGGAACTCCAGGGAGAAATTTTTTTCACCTCCGAAGAATTAATTTAAGAGAAACTGAGCAAGCCCCTCAAAACCTACTGAAGGATGACCTCATGGTCAACTCATGATCAATTAATGTCTCTTAAAAGTATCTGAGATTTTAGACAGGTGGTTTCTTTAGAAAGGGAATCAATAAACTCTGGCAGTGCCTACAAGATCTCACAGTATACACTGCTGAGTTAGTGACCCCTCTCTGAGGGCTCAACAGAAGAACTCCTGTGGACCAAAATATATTCCATCCTTGTTGCTGAGAAAAACTTTGAGCAGCTCTGTGCCCATCATGAGAGTTGGTGAGTTTAGATATTTATCATGGACGAGGACAAGCAGCCAGGCTTTGGACCCAGCCAGTCCCTTCCAAAAGGTTAAGCTGATTACCTAATTGACTTGTAAGGATGTTATTTCATTTTTTTTTTGGGGGGGGGGGAGTGGGGCAGAATAGGAGATATGTAGAAAGTCAACTTAAAACAAAGACTCAGATTGATCTGGATGGTGATTTCATGATGCACTGTATTAAAAAGCAGTAACTTCAATTTTAAGTGGAGCAGGAAAAAGTGGTTTAAAAGTTACGTTACAAATCTAAGTGGAAATTTTTTTTGTAACTTGAGTACACTCATACTTGACACTGGCTTCTTTTTATATGCATACAAAATGCAATTTTTATATTATTAAATTCAGAGTAAAACCAACTGTGCTATAAAGCCAGGCCTGCTAAGAAATAAGATATGTTTCCATCAGGTCATATACAAGACAAATGTGTAAGTTGTTCAGTGTACCAACCAATGTGATTGACTGAGGGATTTGCATAAGAATAGAGACCTCCAGAAAAAATACCTAATGAGTGGATTCTTAATTATCAGAAATGCCAGCCTATGACTAATTCCTCCTGTGAGGAAAAGACAAAAGTTTGTCTCATCTTTTTTAATGCAACCACAGTATCTTTTCCTTATATAGCGTTACTTTCCAAACTTTTCATATGAAACAGGGCTCCCCTTTCATTATATGCTGTCTAAAACAAAGCATTTGTTTTGGGATGAAGATGCATTGTTAACTCTAATAGGTTTCATGTACGACCCCGGTGCATCACTCAATTGCCCCTGCTCTCTGTTTCCATATCTGCAAAATGGAGTATTTTTTGTATAGTGGTGATGCTAGCAATCAGAATTCATTTATAGAGTAATGAACTGTGCTGTACTCAAGCTCTTGGAGGCATGAATAAAAAGAAATCTGTTTCAACCCTTCATACATACACAGCTTTTCCAATAAAACCTTCCTGCCTACATGGAAGGGAGGACACGCTGTCATAAAAGCTTTTTCTAAAACTGGAAGCTAAGTAGACTAAGATGTTTCAGGGAATTAAGTAATGCAACACAGGACTTGTGCCTTCCTTGACACTAAAACCTGAATCAACATGACAACTGTACCATCCAAATTCAGAAATAATACAACTTCTTACCAGTAGATCATGTGCCATTATCTACTGTCTCTGATTTTGGCCTTTTGAAGAGATATCTGGTAGCTTTACGGTAACATAGAAGAGAAGAGAATATTTCACCTGACTGAGATTAACTATAAGAACTCAGTCTGAATCCACCTAAAGAAAAACCTTGTCAGCAGATGTGGTGCCCCTGAGACTAGGGCTGAGAAGTATCTTGCACTGATGCTATTAACATTATATGTGGTCTGCAAGCAATCAGAATTTCAGGACTGTAAAACAGTGCACTCAACACTTCTGCAGCACTAGTCTGGCAAATGAAGAAGATGAGAATAGAACTTTCACAGTTGAAAATCTAGCACTACATACCACAGAACTTTCAAAATAGGAAAGACACTGTTTCCAGCACCACAACCAACCTAAAATCAGAAAAGAAACAAAAAGTTAAAATAAACATGCAAATAAAACCTTTTTTTTTTTTTTTGTGTGTCTTAAAGTAGTTGGAAGGTAGGACCCATTAGACTTGAAGGTACGTTGGCCAAAAAGCGTGTAAACAGCTCATACTACAATACTCAAATCACTTCTATGATCACATTTCTCCACAATGTCTTTCTAAAGTTGAGAGAGAATCCATCTCTCAAACTGCAGAGGAAAATGCAGTGTTCTTGTCCATCTTCAGCATTTAGGAAGAATGCATCAAGTACTTGCACTTAAAGACAGAGCACTTCTAGACAGAACTTTCCTTAGGAAACTGAAAACCCAACTTCCAGTGGAAATGGAATCTGACAATCTAGCCCTAGATTATGATTTGGGAAAAACTTTAAAGGGGAAACAAAGCCCAGCTCATAGGTTTCTCTGAAAGTTCTGCCATTAATCAATGTGGTACGTCAAATTCTAAATGTTTACTTTCTTGATATCTACTAAATATCTTTATCAGGCTTTCGAGCAATTAAGTGCAGTTGTATATGACGGAGAGAACATTTGCAGTGCATTACCTCTAATACTCTGTAGCTGGCATCACTACCAGGGAAAGATTCTAGCCTGTCAAGTTCTTCTCCACCATTTTTACCCTGAGTATTGTCAGTAAGAGATTGTGCTTGTTTTTTATTATATACATATCCTTGTACAGAAGTAGAACCACCTCCATAATTTTTCTTCCTGTATTTTTCTCCTTCCTCAAAGATTTCATTTTTGCATGAAAAACTGTTGGTACTATTTATTTTTGTGTGTTCTGAAGATCTTTCTTCCATTTTTAACTCTTCTCTCATTTTTTCTGGAAGAATTTCTGGAAACTCCAGAAACAGCCAATTGCGATCCTTGAAAAAGTTATTTTTATGAGTCTTGTAAAATTCATTCCAATATTTACTGGCTTCTCTCTCATATTTATCTGAAATTAAAACAAACCAAAAACTTGGTGAATATGAGCTTAGCTATAAAATACCGTAAAGCAACATGTAATTCGGACCTCAAATTTACAGTTTTAAAAAAACATAGTTTCCCACATTGCATACATCTAAATAAAAACATATAGATTTTCAGTCTTACCTTATTCTGTGCTCAGAATAACTCCCATGAGGGTTTAATTATATTTTATGTCACTTAGGATGGGGCAGACAGGCTTTCTGCATCATCTTTTTTTTATTATTAATGTAGTGACATAATAGAAAAGCAACACTAAAATATGCAATCATACGTTTCCTAGACAGGCTTTCACGTCTCAAATAATAAAAACAATGCATCTTTTCAATTAAATGTTCTCCATGTTTTTTGTATTTAAGAAAAACTAAATTGAAATTAATTTCATGATTTATGAAACTCTGAATAACTGCAAATTTGTTGGTAGCTAGTCATCTCTCAAAAAAACCATCAACTAATAATCCAGTTCCGTGAACTGGAGTGATAAATGCTACTGTATAGCCAATAAATGGTTAAGAGTGAATTACTGTCTAACAATGTAGTTTTGACAGAAAACAACAATACAGTCAGAAGCAACATATTGGCTTTCGTACTTTCAAAATACTTCAGAGATTCTTACAATAGACCTTTGTGTTAACTTTTAAAATCACAAAACATTTTAACTGAATGTTAGAATGTCAAAGAATAGGACTAGAAGGGATTTCACCCAGTCAGAGAAGTCAGAGCCCCTTTCTCCACAGAAATTTGTCCAACTTGTTCTTAAAATACCATCTTTCATACAGGTTTGACAACTGTCTTCAGTAATATATTACAGTCCTTCACCATCTGTAGTTAAAATCCTTTTCTACTACCTAAATTGTAATAAGGAAATTTCAGGTTAAGTCCAGTAATTCTTCTCCCATTAACCAAGCAGGTAAAGCAAAGATTACTCACTTCTCTTTGCAACATCTACTTACTTATTTGAAGCCTTTCACTATGTCTCCTGTAAACAATCTCTTTTCTAGATTGTCTAAACCTAACTTTCTTTTTTCCTCAGAAGTAATGATTTTTAGACTTTGGATAATTTTCATTTTTATTCTCTGGATTCCATCCAATTGATTTATTACTTTTTGGTGCTGCATTCTGGTAAAGGCATTATCAACACAGAGCAAAAGGAATATTTTACGAGGCTTACAGGCTGTAATCCTGTTTATAACTCCCAGCTTGCCATTTTGCAACAGCATGACACTGCTGATTCAGCTAGTGATTCACCACAACCCTCTGATCTTCTTCTGCAAAATGACTACCTAGCCAATTGCTCCAGAACCCAGTATTTTTTAAAGGAATTATTCCTAAGCAAAGTATTCTGCGTTTATTTTTAGCAAATTTATATCTTTCAGATCCTTTTTTTCCACTGTTTGTCAAGATCTTTCTGAATCCTAATCCTGTCCTTCACCATACTTGAACCATCTCTTCACTTAATATCATCTTCAAGTCTTCCATTTCCTGAGGTCACTAATGAAAATACCAAGCAGAACTGGACATGGAACAAAATGCTGCTTTGCCCAGCACAGCCTTCCCTTCTGAAAGGATCTCTCTAGGCATTCATTCACCCAAAAGCAGTTTCATTAGCTCTCTCTTGCCTAACTTGCTTATGAAAATGTCAAGTAAAGCATGTCAGAAGCCTGACTAAGGATAAATTTCAGGACGTCTGCTGTTTTTGCCTTATCCCCAGGGCTTGTAACCTTCTCCAAGAAGGAAATTAGCTTGATTTTACATGATTTATTCTTGAAAAATATTTGTTGGCCAGTATTCATCTCCTTTGTTCTTCCAAACCCAGTGTCTGCAAGATCTGGATTATCTCTTCCAGTATTTTTCCAGGAACCGAAACTAATTCTCTGACTCTTCTCTTTTCCCACCTCTGTTTTAAAAAAAGTAAATATTCTCTTTTCTGCTTTCCCAGTCATCCATTTGTAACCTGTTCTTCCTCAGTACCAGAACAAGATCTTTCCTCCTTCTCACTAGTACTGATTGTGCTAGCCACCGGACTGCAGCTAACCCTTTCAAAGGAAGGCTGATAAAAAGATAAGAATTACAACTTTTTCAATGTCTCCTTTGTCGATGGTTTTCCCTTCCTCATCCCTCCTAAGTACCAAACCAAATCACTTTGTTGTTTTTTTCCCTCATTCCCAAAGCATTTACATGTTACCCTTGACATCTCTTGCTAAGTGTACATCATATAATGTGCTGCCTTTTTTATTTTGTCCCTACTCACTTATACTGACCCATTAATTCTTTTAATATAAATGCACAAAGTACATGATGCATTTCTCATACTACTCTCATTTAAATCTTAACATACTATTTTCTAAATTGCTTCAGCTTTTCAGAGATAAACAAGGCTGAGAATTATCATTAGAGGCACAGACAGGCAGTGGGAAGTGGCAAGGAGGTGGCAGAATGCCTTGTCCAAGAAATTTGCATAATTTTAAAAATTTAACATTTAATACAACCGATTGCATTATTAAAGGGCAAGACCCAGACTTGCAGAGTAATCGTACAGACTTGTTTTATGATGTAAGTGCAGAGTTGATTAAGGTCATATACAAAAGATCTCAATAGTGTTAAGTTGCACATTCATAGATTGCTTAGCTTCAGTATAAAAAACAAGCCTTTTACTTAAATGGTTCTTAAATCATTATCACCCCTTGCTATAGTCACTGCTTTTCTACAAGTCTGCTCAGAACCTTTGTACTTAAATTCCCATCATGTTTTTCAGATTTCAGAATTGAAGGAAAGCAATGGCTAAAGTCAGCCTTTCAAATTGTATTGGTATGGTATTACATAGGTTCAAGTGAAAGAATGCTTTATTTCCTATTCTTTCTCTGGTCACTCCTCCACCACTGTGTAATAACCAAGCATGCATTATTATCATTATTATCATCATCATCAATTTTTTGTTTCATTTTGTATATTTAAGTAGCCTGACTACTAAGTTTTCCAAAGCATATAAAAATGACAAAACTAATAAACATATAACCTTTTGAGACAAAAAAAATCCCTTACTTAGTCAACTGATTTTTCTCCTTGACAGACTCTTTCATACACTAGCAAGCATGACCAAGAAGAAACTGGACATGCTAATAAGTAAATGAAATTCCTGAAGGTAGTATCATGAATTCATTCAGTTTAACTTCTCTTGGTTTAACAAGGCTCACCAGAACTATTCTGTTTCAGTGATATAATAGTATTGTTGAAATCTGTCTTGTCTTTCTCCCCTTACTGTAGTTTCCGAGGCCCCAAAATAATCTGCTCATTAGCTTCTGTCTAGTTCATTGTTTACACAAATAGGCCAAAATGTACTTCCACTTGCAGAATGAAGCTGAAGTTTCTGAAGGAACACAATCATCAGTGCTCACCTATTCAAGCTCTAAACAGAGGGGCATTCACAGGAAATGCCCTTGGATTCTTGTATTTCTAGGCAATAGACAAATGCCTGATTATTCCATTTCTCACCAGCACAAACTAAGTTCTAATTGATTGTACACGAAGAATGAAAGGTTCCATGAGCCACATGGTTTACACAGCTTACTTTTCAATTAAGAGCTCTTTTTCAACTTTTTATACAAACCAAATGAAAGTATTACATGTCATTTTTGAAAAAACAAACGTTGTACTTCTGTATTTTGATAAAGAATGAGAGAGGTAACAGAAAAGGGTGGGATAACAATCCCAGAGCATTCAAAGTGACAAAGGGCACACAATCCATGACACATTCACAGATAATTCAAATAAACTCCAACATGTGCCCTAGTTACATCAGTGAAACCGAGCACAGGATCATAATGACACTACCTAATTTGACAGATTCAAGACATGCTAAGTAAACTGAGGCCCAGGACATCCAAGTAATTGTTTTTAGAATATCTTTCTAATAAAGGAACAAACCAAGAATCCAGTCTTCAAAGTTCCTATCAAGTTGATACTCCAGCTTTAGCATACGTTACTATCCTAGAGTTTAGTCTAGGGCTTATTTTGCCAGCTTGAACCTAGAGCTATCACTCTTCAGAAATGCAGAATACGTTGCTTCCCCTCTGAAGACATGCATGAAATTCCTTAATCATTTACAGAGCAGACGCTGCATGATGTGTTGGAACACCTTCCACACAAAGCGAACTCACTGCTTCCTGAAGCACTCCCAGCTCAGCCTGGCCAAGGCAACAAGCTGGGACCAGCTGGGACCCGTGCAACTTTCATGGCACTTAACTGAAATATGGTGCAATGTACAAACACTAGCTCTCTAAAGAGTTCACAAATCATCAAAAAGCATTTGAATATTGTACATGGGAACTTTCATCCCCACCACCCTAGCTGGCTGCAAATTCATTCCCTTTGATGAAGTAAGAATCCTGTGCAGTAAGAGTTTTATTCTGATGAACTGCAAAAAGAGCCAGAACTTGCAACTGCACCGTACTGATGTACTTGTTTTACATAGAGTATATTGCCTCCCCAATGCAAAATTGCTCAAATAAGTAACTGAATTGCTAGAAAAACACACTTTTGAGACAATCTTTTGAGGCAACAAAGGAAAAAAAGCAAGCAACCAATCAATCAATTTAGACATGAGAATGTAGAAATAGAGTGTTCCTGGATTTAAAGCATCTTTAAATGTCTTAATAAAAAGCATTAAAATAGGAATTTTTAAACCATTATGAATTTGTTACCTTGGTCTTCCCATTGAACTTTCACAAGCGAGTTCGCTGCTGCTTTTTCCTTGGCACCCTCTTCTTCTTCTTGTGACCACTGCATGTGGTCCCTGCAAAAGGCAGTTGAAGAATCGGCCTTTAAATAGGATTTTCCATATTTTTTTTTCCCCAGGGAAATCAGTCATAAATTAGCTACACTGTCTCAAATACATTTTCTTTTTGATTGCAAGCAAATGACCACAAGGAGACTGACAGTTAAAAACTAAGTTTCAGTGCATGACAGATAAAAATGAATTACTAGTTAGGTAAAACTCAAGTGAAATGATTAAGAAAAATCTTGCAACTGCAAAGAGGCTAAAATAGTATGCATTTTTTTCCTTAATAATATGATTAACATATATCTTGTCAATTGAGTGTGTTTATAGGAATGTATTTTGAGTGTCGCATTAGAACTGTGTTTAGCTGGATAAAATACTAAATCTATCAACAAACACTCTGATGCAAGAAACTTCTCACATTACTAATATTTATTAAGATGTACAAAGGTCATTTAGCAAAGGAATCAGCTGATCCTGAAACAGGGAGCATAATCCACCTATTCAAGTGGAACAGGTGGAACTGATGAACAGGATTTTACTTATTTGGGGAATACAGATAGGAAGCATTGAGAAGAAAGAATGAGACATTCCTAAGAAAAGACAAGTAGTGATGCAATGGTTCCAGAGTCTGTGGTATCTACAGTTGTGTGAAGTGGTTCACTAAATGTTGTATTAATCCATTAAATGCTACACAACCAAACCAGTATCTGACCCTGATGATTAAACTGCCTTCCCTGCAGATTCTGTTTCAATCATGCCACGATGGGGAGTGCCCAAAAATGTGCTATTGGCAGTTTTTAAAAGTAAATCAACTGTCCCTCCAAATTGTCCAGTATTAAGTTTTAGAAATCAGATTAAAATTAGATAACATAATTCAAGTTACCTGTTAGATCCTAATTCTACTGAAAGCAATTAACTGAAAGCCTATGACTAAAATTCCATTGGTTACTATGGGAAAAGAAACAAGGTGCCAACTTGAAAAGAGTTGATTGTCTCTAAAAACTAACAAGCATCTTCCTGTTCCATGCTTGGTGTTATATAGGTAATTTCATTCTTAGACCTTCACTGTTCCTCTTTTGTTAATTGTGGGAGACTATTTGGTATGTACTTGTCTGCTCGCCTTAGACTTGATTTCCGCATCTCTACTGAAATATTTCTCATTATTGTCCCCAGCAGGTTGCCTCTCCCCTTCCTGTATTTGTTCCCATAACAAATGTTCCTGTGCAGCGTCAAGGCTCTGACAGACATGCTGTAGTAGAGTAAAACTGAATGACCAAAGCATTACTAGGCAGCCATCCTCAGAAAGAACTGCTTCCTTCACTGCTATCACTGTTTTTGACCATGCCTATTCTAGCAAGCTGAAACCAAGGACTATTCAGATGGCAATAGTATCTGTCAGAAGGGTTGACTGTATGACTTGCTGCGGTATAAACTTTAGCCGATCAATTTTAATCCATCATTGTGTGTCTGTCAGAGCCTGTAAGGGCTCCACACACAATACTATAGGTGCCTGAAGTCCTCCATCTTCATCAACAATTTTTTTCTTCTTTTGTTCCTCCTTGGAAATTCATAAAGCTGAAGAAAGATCTCTTGGCTCTTTTCTATAAATTTCTATATGGAAAACCCCAAACAACAGGACTGCAGCAGCTCTTGTTCAAAATTTGCAAAAGAGACGACAGAGCATAGTTCTTGTGCAAATTATTTAAATAGTTCAGATGCTTCAAATGAGGCAGTTCCTTCAGCAATACAAGCTGGCAGGAATACAGAATAAGAAGAATGCTAAGCACAGAAGTGTTTAAGTACAGCAGTGTTTTAAGTTGAACGTTGACAGCAGCAAAGTAAGCTATCCATTGTAATCACACAAGGAACTGTTAGCATGAGTAGGCCTGACACAAGATCAAGCAATGCTACCTTCAGTTCAGCTTATTCAATTTACCCATTTCCATTAACTTGTTTGCTAACATAGGTTTTAATTATTTCTGAAAACTAACATGTGAAACTATGCCAATTACTAACCTGAACAGAAACAGACATTTTTTGCTCCAATGTATAGCGTCATTCATTACCCCTCAAAATGACAGAAAAGCACAATGGCAAATATCTAAAGCATTAGTTTCCAAATTTAATTTGCTTAGTATTCCTAGCAGCAATGGTAGCAGCAATTTGGCTCCCTGTCAATTCACACACAGGCAAGAAGAAGGATGTCACTTTATGAAGTACCAAAGACGGTAAGTAGAAAACAGAAGGACATAAATCCTCATGCATCAATGCTAGGAAAGATGTATCCCTTATGCACATACAACATGATCTGTTCAGCTCAACCACCGCTCATCCTGATCCCCCTTATCTCCCTAGTGGGAACCCTGCTGATTCAGCCAGCTTCAGATCCAATGACGTTCCCACACTTCATAGCCAGGTTCTTGATTTATCGAGACCTTCACCACTTCCATGCAGCCTCTTCTCCAACTCAGTTTTACCTGTTTTCCTTTGTGAGCTATGTGGATTCACTGGCAGCTCTGCTTTCTGAATAACCCCGTTCCTTTCAATCCCACCTTCACAATCCATCCCAACCACGTGCATCATAGTTTGATACCTATGTATTAGACCGTCAACGGATGCTACCAAGAAAACCTGAAGCTACACATGATCAGTTATATGGAAGGAAATTAAAAAATGAAATAAACTTGAGTTTTGTCAAGGTACAATGTTACAGAAAAAGGGTGACTTTTTTCTCAAAATCTTTTCCTATCTAGACTATGTCGCCTACATTTGAATCAGCATTCACCCAAGTAAAGGATTTTTCCACCTAGCAGGAGGTCCTGAGACTGGAAGATGCTTAAGAACTACACCGCATATGGATTTATGAAACACAGAGATAAACTTTACACTCTTTTAACACAATAACCAGCTTCCTTGACAAATGAACTTATAGAAGTATAGATAACTCCAGATTTGGCCTTAAGGTTATATGTGTTGGGGACATCTAGTTTAGAAAGCAGTAAGAGGTGACAGATGTATTTGCATATCTTGCCTCATGAGTTGAGCCTAAATTTAGAGACTAAAAATAGTAATGATGGTATTAGTTTACTAACCAGAAGACAATCTTCTGTGTCATATTATTCTCTTAAAACCTTTTTATTCATCAGAATTTTATTAGAGGAACTTTTGAAATAATTGAGATTAAAAAGTAAAATGGATGAATTAACAAATAAAATGGACTAGTAAAAAGAATAATAATTTTTAAAAACTCAGGAAGTTGGGACTTGATTTCAGAATAAAAGTTGTCCAGTAACTTCTCTGACAGTTGCCAGCAGGGGACACCACTGAGGAAAATATAAAAACTGCAAATTACTTTTATGAAGTAAGCTTAAGCCCTGAAAATTGTCATCTGTTACTCCTGTTATGTTACCCATTGGTTATCGTTAGCCACACCCAGTTGCTTTTCTAATTTTCCTAAATCTTTGCTCTCAAAAATGGTGTGTGGCAGAATTCAAAAATATATTTTTAAATTATGTAGAAAATTATTTCTCATATAGCTTCTAAGTTCCCCGCTTCTCTTTTCATCAAATATTCCTTGTTCTTAAGTTATACAGGAATTAATATATTAATAGAAATTCCTGATCTTCTAAATATCTTAGGTAGATATTCTTCTACATTCTAGATAGATTTAGATATTCTTCTATCCTTCTAACACTTCATATATCACTCACTGTTTTGTATTCATCTCCATTCCATGGTCAAAAATCCTAGCCTTTCAATCTCAGTTTTCCCACTGTGTTGACTAGCATTCTCACTCTTTTTTGAGCTCCCATTAATCATAAAAATACCTTTTAGAGATGTACTGCTGCAAATCAGGGCAATTCTTATTCTTGTTAACAACTACGTGTTAATGTTTTCTTTGCTGTTATATCATTTATTTATGTTAAGATTCAATTTACTTTGACAATTTTGCACTGTACAGAAATCTCTGCTGAACTACCTGTAACATCTTCAGTACACCTTTAGAAAAACACAAGTAATTTACATGTTCCTTTTGAAATGGTGACAGTTTTAGAATACAGAGCTAATCCAGTATGCAGTTATTGTACCTAACTCGTAACTTTCTGCTACCATAACATGGACAACTTATCCTCTACGCTTTCTCTCCTAATCTATTACTGATCTACAACAATATTTTGTCTTTCACTCCCTGACTAACAAACTTGCTCAGCAGCTTTTTCCACAAGTCACTGAGAATGTGTAACTGTCAGGTTACTTGTGACAGTCTCAAGTTCTCTCTAGCACTACCTTCCAACTTCTATTCTGGAAGTCCATTGTTATATGTATACACAGACCCCATTATACATCATAGTAAATAATATACAAAAATATATTAAAATCAGCCTTGAAGAAACATCTCACCACATGTTATGCTCAAAAACTTTAGACGGATCAGTTAAAATCCGTGATCCAAGTGGAACAGCTGGTCGTCTACTACTTTGGTGCCTCTGTTGCATCTTGCTTTTCCTCGGACATAAAGTAGAAAGCCTTGTAATGAAATTCATTTTGTTCAGAGACCTGAAAACACAATTAATTAAAGTTTTACTGTAACTTAATTGTTTATGTCACTTATATGAGAAACTGGTCAAATAATCAAGAACCAACATCAACTTTAGTAATAACCTTTTACTATAACATCAACTTAACTGCTTTTTAGAAAATAGGAACATCCCTTCAGTGTGCTGAAATACAAATAATCTCAAAGTAGGCTACTGGAAAGAAACCAGTGGAAAGATAAATTATTTGGTATCATTTCAAAGTCCTATCAAGCAGGGGAAAAAAAATAATACACAGTAAAACAATAAATCAAGTTTGATATACCTTTAAGAAGACAAGCAAGAGGTGATCAGTAAAGAAATCACTTGTTCTAGTGGGTATGTACTGTCATTGAGATTGACATTTTTCACCCCACTCACTAGGTAACCGTCTTCAAAAGATTTAATTCTAGAACTGTGACTGTGGCTTTATGGTTTTAGATAGAAAATGCAAAATTTTTGTTAAGTGTAAACATTATGCAACAGAAAGCCTTCCAAAATTTCTGCTATGTATTCTCCTGATCCCTGTTTAATGCTGTCTTTGAAATGAATGGGTTTAAATGTTAAATTTCTATTTGTGGAAAGCATAAAGCGCTTGAGATTGTTCCATTACATGTCTAATGCTCTCCTACATTGCTATATTTTACTTTACTTGGAATCTTTTCATACAGTATTAATAATGAAAGACAACAAGTGTGTATAGCTAGTACCAGAATTTTGTCTTGTTGGCTTTTGGGTGGTTTTGCATATTCTTGTTAATGTAGGCTTTTTAGAAGATGAGTAAAACGAAATACCCCTCCTACTACTTTTACCCTGATGTGCCTTTGTTCTTTTTTCCTTCAAGTGCCTGCATATGACTTTTTAAACTATTCTTAGTCCTATTTTTTTCCTCTTTTTTTTTTTTTTTAGTGCTTCTTCCATATAATCCGCACATAAATTTAATGCACTGAAAATACAAAATGTAGTTACAAAAGAACAGGCACAATTTAAATACAGATATTATTAGAAAACATTCTGTACAAATTGGTTACAAAATGAAGATTTTTATCTGAGGAAAACAGTACTATTTGATCACAAGTCTTGTACTGTGAATAAAAAAAGATTAATTTGCACACATCATTACAAAGCCTGGCAAAGGAATCACTTCAATTAACTGAACAATTCATTATATAAGGTGTACTTTTGAATGAGTCATGATTTAAAAAGGGCATTGTTTATTAATTTTAAGCCTACAGAAAAAAAAAAGGAAAAAAAGATTAAAATTTCTTTTTATTTGTCAAAGGTTAAGTAAAATGGGGCTTGCCTTTGGCTGTCAGTGACAAATAAAAACACTGATAAATTTTGGCTGCTGGGACTGCAATGTTACCAGGATATAGGGCATCACCATACAGTGAAAATATAACATTTAGTCCTATTAAAAAATTAAAACCTTTTCTAATGTTAATGAGTTTATTATGGCTCTTTTATTTCAAATGTGGCTCAGCAACTAAAACAATTCCAGTTTATACTTTAATTACTACAAAATGTTCATGCTTTGTTTTTGAAAATATGTACACATTTTTCATAACATAATGCATAATTAATAACATATATGGACTATTATGAAATAATACATGAACATTAATACACCATGACAATTTCTGCAAAATGTGTAATTTACATGAAGGCAATGTTCTTGAAAACAAAAACAAATAGAAAATCCCCCCCAAACCCAAACCACAATCTGATCCAAAATTATTATTAAACTGTAGAAATTCCTGCATAAAGATTCCATTATTATGTTGCAAACTGTTTACAAATCCTCTTCCTCCTTCAATCATTCAAAAAGACCTGAGATAGTAACTTGCATTTCCTGTGCCAGCACTGATATTCAACATAAAATACAATGATTCAGCTGCTAGGCTAGTCACATAATTTTTCTTGGCTTTCTAAATATCTCAGTAAGAACATGAAAAGATGCACAGATGGGAATTATAGTCAGATGACTAAGATGATCTTGCATCAGTAAAATCCAGAGATGCAGCTCTTTTTATGAGAATGTGATACTTTGAGTGATAATTGCACAATTTTAGCTGACAAATTCTGAAACATCAAGAAAACGCAAGGAGAGTGGGGGAGTTAAGTTTACAGTTGCATACAGTGTTAAATGTGAAGGAACTCACTGGAGACATGCATGTATATATCCCTGAGAGTTAGTTATCTATAGATCATGAGATTAACAGGCAATCTGGCTGCTAAGAGTTCAAAAAGCATCTAAATTACTTGGAAGCCTAAATTACATTGTCAGAAGCAAGCCCTTGCTCATTTGTTTCTCTAACTGATTTTGTTAATGAAAAAGGCAAACACCCTTTCTCTTTGTCAGATAAGATGATCATAACCTGAAGCCATGACAGCAAGAAACGTTGTTGTCTGAAAGAATTAAAAGTTATTTCCTTGTTCAGAGCTATGGTCAGGAAAGGCTTTAAATTTGATTATTAATCAAAGCAACTCTACCTTCTTCTTTAAGAATATTATCATGAAACGGAATAAAAATGCCTATATTTTGTGGCAGCATAACTGTTTTCAGAAAAAAACTTTAAAGAAACAACACACTGGGTGATCACACTCAAACACAACATGGAAGACTTTTCGCCTGTGGAGCACTGCCTTTTAACCTTCAGAATTCCGTCATTGTTACAAATACAGACCAGGTTCTCAGTTTAGTTGAGAAATTTTAAGAAAACAGCCTTAAAAGTACTCTCCTCCCCAAACAATCTAACACAGCTGCTTTAAATACAGCTTTCTGAAGGTGGACATACAGAAGAAGATATACACTTCAACCGCCAGCTAAACCTGAAATAATACATTTCTGATCGATGCTGGCATTAAAACCTCTGAGCAGTCACATTCACAGAGGAGAAACTAGAGATACAAGAGAAAAGAACTTCTCTAAATCTTGTTTTTTAAATAGTTAATTACATATCAATACGTACATAAGCCACTTCATTGATTAATAAAATCCTTGAGAAGTATCTCTGAAAGAGATATTGGAGGGGAAAAAAAAAAAAAAAACAACAACAAAAAACCAAAACAGAACAGACATAAGCTGTCATTTTTGTCCAATAACCTAGTTCAATGAACTTACTGGACGAAAACATTTTGACATTTGACTGATCTCCAACTACAAAGCTAAGAACTCCTTCCATCTCCAATCGCTACATCTACTTGTAGAGTCTCCATTATAAAGAAAAAAAAATAGCCCATGTAAGGAAGAGTATGTGCAGCTTATGTTACATTTCTACAAAAGAAAGTATTCTGGAAACAATGAACTTCATACAATTACTTTTTCCGCTTGGCATCTAGAAGCTTATCCATGCAACATCTGACAATTAATCCCCAGTGGTCTTCTATAAAGTGTAGCTCGTCTGTTTTATCACTATCAAACACTACCAAAACTCAGAACACCTTGCACAATGCAAGTGGCAATCATGGACACAAAACGAAAAATTCTTCAAGATAATGGTAACACAGAAGATATAACTATGAATTACCCGTGGTTATTTTTAAAAAAGACATATATTAATATTTCTTAATATTTCAAATCAAGGCAGGGGGGAGAGAGAGGACTTTACTGTCAACCAGACTTGTTCATTAAGTGAATGCTTAATGCTATTCTATTCTACCAATTGACTAAACATGCCCTCTTGGGGCTTCATGATTAGTCTTTCAACGACATACTTCAAAAAAGCTGTGCACATTTGAAACAATAGGATATTTCACAACTTTTCAAACTCAGCAGATCTAAAACTCTCAACTGCTTTTACTTCTCATGCATCATCACCAGCAATGATGCAGGCCTCCCTGTTGGCACACAGCAACTGCAGTAAAATTACTGCAGAACACTGATTACCAAGGGAAAATAAAAACAGAACAAAAAAAATTTTTATTTTTTCCTGACTCCTGTAGAGACAACACAGTTAACATTGGTTAAAAAGCAATAGCAGATCAAAACGAACAAATCCCACCAGATATGATTTTAACCACGTGTACAGAAATGTTGAGGAAGAAGAGCCTGTTCTTACATTATCTGCCAGACAGCCTGTTAAAAAGTCAAGCAAAGAGAAAATAGTTTATGTGATGGTAGAGGGAGGGAAATAAAACTGCTCATTTACTGAAAACATTTACCTGAATCACCATACATGCAGTAGATGAACAACAGAATTTGGAGGTACGTTATTTGGGATAAAATAATATATGTAGGTACTTTCTAATCACTTCCAAAAGTAAAAAAGCAGACAGTTACTAGGGACAAGCAGAGAGCTAAAAGCCCTTGAGCATTTAAAAAATATTATTTAATTCCCTAATTTTGTATTCATTGAGAATTGTTTCTCAGCCACTATTCTCCATCTTGATACTCCAGTTGGAATTGTTCTGCTATATAAACCATTTCTGTCATATCTTATAAAACTATGGGGTTTATAATTATATTTATATTCTTTTATTTTTGAGAAGCAACCATACCATTTCTATAAAAAAGGGAAAATGTTCTACAAATCAAACTATGAACTGCAAGATTAATTCTTTTTGGCATATGATTCTATTGATCTTGGAAGACAGTGAAAGCAAAGAAAGCTTTCTCTGCAGCACTGAGTGAATCAACTACATTAGTTAATATGTTTTTAGCTAATGGAGACAGTTTGAAAAAATGCAACTAAAGATAAAATAATGGCAACTGCAAGATCAAAGAGACATGAATAGCCAACAAGGAAGAAACAGCTTAGAAATATAGATGAATTTTATTTACTGAATCTTTAATCAATTAATGTTAACATGAAATTACTAACAAAAGCATTTTATTTGAAATAATTGTATGGATGAAATGTGGAATTCAATTGCTACAGGTGACTAACGTAATTTGTTCTAAACTAAATCTATTTATTTTTTCATTTGCAAAGGCAGGTGATAAAACATTCTGACTGAAGGCCGTCAAAAAATGCTGATTCAAGAAAATCACAGTATTTTAAAAAAATGTAGCAATTCTGTTGACACTTTAATATATACAAACATTATTATTATTTTTTGGAACGTTGAAAGATTTTGTTTTGATCAGGACAAGTGTTTTGTTGAAACCGCATTATTTCCATTTATAATGTTCTGACTTCACTATCAAATACTATTTTGCCTGGAAAATGAAACTGCAATAAAGTATTTGAACTGAATTCAAAAACCTTGTGAAGAATATTTTAATTCCAAATGAAGTTAAAACTATATTTTCATACCCTAGAATCATTCTTGGAATGGAATTTCTACTTTTGTACTGAATGTATAGTAACATTTTCAGTGTTAATTGTTCTGCTATTCTGTGTTTGTAACACCTACTAAAGGCACACTTACAAACAGTGTCATCATAAGTATTATTGACTAAAATAATTTGAATAACAGAAATTAAGAAGATACCAGTCACTCTTACTACAAATTTCTTAAATATTGCAAAATGTAGAGAGGCAAATTCACAAATAATTCTTTAGGCTATTATCCTGCAAATACCTGTACATTTATTTAAATTTACAGAGAAGTTGTCTTCTCACATATCAATGAGTCTATAGGATATGGGATTTAAATATATAAGTATTTTGCACAATCCTTTGCTTTTTTCCCCCTATTTTTTCACTTTTTCCATGCAGTATTTCATGTCTTTTCCTGTTATTTATACAGCAGAATACAACATGAAAATTATTTACTAAATTAATCTATTTGCAATTTAAACATCAAGAGGAAGCCATCAATGTTAAACACATCTCAGAAATAAGGCTTCCTAGTTAACTTGTGCACCCTCTGCTGGCTGGTGCTTACATCAGAAGAAAAAAAAAATGCAAAATAAGCATGTTGACTTTATGTATGCCTATACGTGCACAGTGAACACACATCTAAGTCTCAAAATATATATTTTGATCGCTTAAATTGTTTTTCAACCCTATTTTCTACAAAATACTGAGCATGTAATTGCACTGCCTAACAACGAAAAGATGATTTGTTGCAACACAAAGCACATTATTCTATTATTAAAGACGATGAGAATAGAGATAGAGCAATGTGAATTTTACTACTATTTATAATTTACTTTGAAGAACCTCGTTCATTTACATCTCTGCAAGACCCTGGATGCCCCCACATGACTTTGCTTAGGTGCAACCTGCCCCATCAGCTCTGAAGTCACTGGCAATATTGTAGAGCCTGCTGTTCATAGGAGCAACTGCAACCACTGTGTTTGTGTGTTTAGCTCACTTCAAGCAACTGCAAAGCATCAGAGAATTACAGGACTCTATCTTTTGTTACAGTATCAGCAAAAATTGAAGGACCCACTTAGAGATCCTGAAGAACAGGCACAGAAATTGGTAAGATCAGCAGCTTCCATGTTACCCCATTTGGGCGCCCAGCCTCTGGCAAGGAAGGGAAACGAGTTTTTCCACAGACTTCAGCTGCTCAGCTGGCAAGTAACTGTCGATGATAGTGACAACTTTTGGGCCTTAGCTCTAGAAATATAAAAAGGATGTGTCAAATATCTCGAGAAGTTGCTGTTGACCCTGAGGTTCTAAACAGATCCTTTAACACTAACACACCCACCCCACACCCTTAGCCCGGGTACACTCCTACAACACAGCAGCACCCAAAATCCCCCGTGGCCGCTGCCACAGGCGCGCTGCGGGCCTGACCGCCATGCGCAGTGCCCGGCCCCACGCCGGGCGCCCCCCGGCAGGGGGCGCTGTCCCCGCCCAGCTCCGCAGGAAGACCCTGGTGAACGGGAGATGCGCGTTCCCGCTTGTCCCTTCGCCGAACTATCGCTAACAAAACTCCCCTGCCTTTACTTAATAGGACGTAAGGGGTAAAATGTTTCCCTTTACACGCCCTGCGTGCCGACGTGCACTGCGTTTACTTCAGTCCTTTGAGAGCAGGGTAAGGCAGCGCAGCCCGGCCCGGGGCAGAGCTCCCGGTGCCTGGGCGGTTCCGCGGGTACCGGTGGACGCCCGCTGCTGCCGGCGGCTCTCACCGACCTCTGCGCAGCCACCCTCCCCCTGCCCCGCGGTCCTCCGTGTGACGTCCCCACCAGCGGTAACGCCGCAGCACCCCCGCAGCGGAGGAAAGACCCGGCTCCCGGTTGCAGGCACCCACCTGGCCGCCTCTGGCGGGCTGCCGCGGGGCATGGCGGGAGGCGTAGTCCGGCCTCGCCGCGGAATTTCGCCCGCGGAAACTACAGCACCCGGCGGGCCGCGGGGGGAGGTGGTGGCACCGGCACAGGGATTCCTGTCGCCTGTCGCAACTCGGCTCTAGGGTGACGGGGGAGAGGCGGTGCTCACCCGGATGGGTGCCTGCGCGCAGCGGCGGCGGCGGCGGCAGCCCCGGCCCCGCCCCGCGGGAAGGCCTTGGTTTGCGTCCCCCGGGAGTTGGAGATCGGAGGAGTTGTTTGGGTGTTTTCCTGCGTGGGTTCACTTCTCGCTGGGCGGAGCGAGGGCTGAGAGAAATCCCGCGCAGGCCCGGGTGCCGGAAGGATGCTCTCCCCGCTGAGAACGAACCAGAAGCGGGGGCGAGCGGCGCTCCTGCCCCAAGGGCCGGGGCTGTGCCCTCAGGCAGCCGCTGCAGCCGCCGGCGGGCGGAGAGCTGCGTCCCGGGCGCCCGGGGCTCGCAACATCTGCCGCCTCCTCGCACGCAGGGCCTACGGGTTTTACGCCAGAGACGCTGGTGTCGCCCACAGAAAAAACCTGGGACTCCTCAGAGAGATAATATGTCAGGTAATAGCAATGCTTTCAGGCGCCGGCTAAACCCCTGCGTGTACTGGCTTTTAGCCGGGGTGGTCTGAGCGTCGCTTCTCAACCCAGGTGTCTGAGAAGTCCCTGGTCACGCCGACTAACAAGTTTGGGGAGAAAGAGACTGTAATCATGCTGAAGAGAGTTAGAAATGGTTAAATTTATTTCATGACGCTCAGACCTAGAAATGTAGAGAGGAAAAACTGCAAAAGCACTTGTAAATCTAATAATCTTGTTAGAAATAGACTTTTATGAGATTTTTTCTATCACTTCTTCCCCTAAAATGGCTTTATATTTAATACCAATATTCGTAGTGTTTTAGGGAGCATCAGTGTTAAATTTAAATGGAGTTTTCATAACAAAATAAGATCACCAGCAGAGGTCTTCAGGTAAACAAACTGCTAATGTGTCAGTTAAATTTATGTTACAGAAAAAAGGCATTAAACCAATTGCAGACTAAAGTGAACTTGATTTTTTTAAATCAAAACGATTATTGCTCCCATGCAGTAGTTGATAAAAACGCACTGAAGGTGAATACGTAGAAGTGAATTGGCAGTTGTGTTACACTGAAAATATATTTATTGAAAGTCAGCTAAAGTGTCAGCTTATGCAACTAGATCAGTGGGCATGCAAGTTTTATTAAAATAAAGATTAGTATATCTTATTTACGCAAATGCCTTTTTTTTTGTATGTAAGGCTGGAACCTTTCTTATTGGTATAGAGCTCCTGATGTGTCTAAGGCATGCAAGAAACTTTATGTGAGCAGTTTTTCCTATTAACATTTAAGGCACTTTTTGCAAATAACACATTTTTCTACCTTTTACTCACAACACCACCAGCAGAATGGAGTCAGTTGTTCAGTAAATTTAGTTAATTTCATATAAAGAGTTATGTGCCTATTTACACTCTGGGGAGTTTTGTCCTTGATTTTAAAAGTTGCCGTTAAAGCTTAGTTGCCAGTTTTAATTTTATTGCAGGCAAGTTAATAACAAAATATTCATTACCCATGCTGTCCATAATAGCTAAAAAAAAAAATCTTTTAATTTGTTTTTTTTTTAAAAAGACAAAATTTCCCTAAAAACATCTTTTAAAGGAAAATCTTACTTGTTTTTTAAAGCCAAATTCTGTATTCAACAGCAAAGTTTCAATTAAAGTAAGTTATTAAGCAGCAGGAGCCAAATAAAACATTTTCTAAAAGCAAAGTTTGTTACAAAAGCCATCGCTGTTACAACCACTGTCTGTTTCAGGAAAGTACTAAATTCAGGAATGTTTGGACAACTCATTCTGCATCTCCTATTGCATATGAAAGAGGAAGAATTTACTTAGACAATTACCAGTGCTGTATTAGCAGGTAATAAATTTACAATTACAAGTTACCCTAGCTTACAGTTTTAACACTGTGATTCTGTTTTAAACATGTTGCTAACTTTACTTATCTGAATAGCCCCTATGAATTGAGCGGAATTTACTTACAAAAAAAAAATAACCAGGTGCATAAATATTTGTTAAATTACACTCAGATACCATTGTGTCTTAATGTGACACCTGCTTTGGTGAAAGCAAGTCTGATCTTACTGGTGCTATATAAATTCAGCTTTCAGAGTGCTTTAATAGGAGTGGAAGGTTATCGCCATTTCATAGTTTTTCACTAAAACACCAACTGAATAGTAGTTCTTTGTGAACTGGTAAACTAGCACTGTGCTGAAGAATGTGTCATAAAATCGGCCTATGTAACAAGCTTGGTACTATGTGAATTGTGCATTAAAGTAGTAAATTATTGTTCATGTAAAAGTACAGTGTGCAGAGTACTTGCTGGTTTTCGTTAATGTATTTTGCAGATCAGTTCTCTGATCTGGTGCTCTCCTGTTCCATGCTCAGCTGCAGGGGCACAGCTTAGGAGGCAGAATGGGGCAGGGTAGAGGACGGGAAGTCCTGTGAGCACCAGTTCTCAGCCTTGCCCATCCCTCTTGTGAGGGAAGTAGCAGGGACTTGGAGAACTGCGTTGCTGAGTAAGTTGTAGTCAGAACAGTTTTGAGACAGTGTCCTATAATACATAAAAGACAAATTACTCTGTCAGTGTAAACCACTGTGAGTTAACTAAATTAATCTATCACTTACAGGGGAGATCTAAATCTTCTTAGCTGTGTTTTATTCCTACAGTGTCTGAATGCTTTCCAGTACTGGGTTAACCTGTCTAACATCTTTCAGGTTTATCTTTGTCTCCCTGAGGGAAAAACTGCACAGTACCAAGCTTTTATTCTAGTAGTAGGGTTTGGGTTTTTTTTAAATACCTGTACATGATGCCACACCTTTGTATTATGAAAGGCAACACACTGAAAGAGTTTGAGAGGGGCGGTTTCAAGATGATCGTTAATTCCTGGAATATGCTTTCTTTTTAATGTATATCACTAAAGTAAGAATGTTACTACTACGTTTGTTTTTTAAAAACAAAACAAACAAATCAAAATTAAAAAAGCCCACAACACCAAATTACAAAATACAGAGGTTAGCTTTTAAATATTATGTTATAATAACTATTGTCTATTAGGCCTTATTTTGAGAGCAATTTCCGGTTATATTTACAAAGTAAAAATAAGATGTTTAGGTTTCTGACCTGCCTAAAGAGAAGGCAAGATTTATAAAACTGTATGAAATGACTTGTTGATAGAAAGTAATTCATAAAGTAGACTAATGATTAGCAATCATTTTCCTCCAGCATTGCACAAGAGCCAAGAATACTTTATCAAAAGCCGAAGTGTTCTAAGTCAGAAAAAATAGAAGATGCTTTACTATTGGAATGCCCACTGGTAAGATTACTTTTTACTAGAGCTTTGTTGTGTGAAAAACCAAATTAATATCTTTCAGTGAAACGTATTTAGAATAGAGTGCTCTTTCCTTGAAAAGTATTTTCCTAATGTTTTTATGGAGTTAGGTAATTTGAGGTTTGCAATGCATGCTTATTTTGACCAAACGTTTAGAGGTATACTTCTCTGAACTTCTCAATAGTGCATTCACATGCTTTTTAATGAGTTTTTGTGGAAGATTTTAAAAACAGTGCCCTTATGCTTACGCAACTAACTGATTTCTTACAACGTAAATTCCATTTCAGTTTTTCTTTATTTTTTAATTAGCAGGAGCTGCAGGTAGAAGTTTTAGTTTTTACCAGATCTTTTTGACATTAAAAAAAAAAAAACGCACATAAACTGAAGACTCATTGGAGCAACTCTGGCCAAAAGCTGTTCTGCTGTTTCTAGCTAATAGATTATATAATTTCTGTCCTCCCTGAGGAGTTTTGGAGTTTTTCTCTCATCCAGTGTCCACAGAGCTCAGGAATATTAGTCCCATCTTTGAGATTCCTAAAAATAAAGCAGTGTGAATACTGTTCTTAGCAGTTACTGTTCAGTTACCACTGAATGTCTTATTCTGCAACACTTAAACAATTGTCTCGTCAAGACTGATATCAGTTAGATTGATAAGCAGTTATACTTCATTTTTGCAAGGCGAGGAAGTTTTAAAAGGTATCTTTTCTAGAAAAGGTGGCTGCTTTGCAAAAAGTGTGACAGCAGATTATTTATATGATACATGACTGTTTGGTACAGACATGAGCTTAGAGATCCTGATGTCAATAGCAGGCAGCTTTCCACCTTTAGTATTTGAGGAATGTGTATTAACTTTTGCTTTCTTGTTACTGTGTCAAAATGTTATGTATCCTCCTGGTTCAAACCTTCTTCTGATAACCTTATGTTATGTAGGGGGAAATGCTACCAAGTCCATCGGACTATAAATCTTCGCTGATAGTCTTGACAGTGCAGAACTGGCTTCTACGTCTCTCTGCTGATAGTGGAGAAATATTGGAAAAAATATACCTTGCTGGTTCCTGTTGCAAATTCAGGTACTAAACATTGACTAGATTTTATGTAATTAACAATCATTAGTACTATACTGGAGAAAGGAAATCATGTTTATTTTAGTACTGTCCTATGGCTGACTTAAGGTTTGTTAGTCTAGCATGTTACCTGGAGTACTGTTCCTGCATGCTGTTTGCTATAGAAGAATTTCAGCAGCCTAAGTATTATGGTCTCAAATTTGGTATCACGTTCCACAAAAGCTAGGCTACTATTGGCTTTTCTCTGACAGTTTCATAGCCTTTAATAATTCAGTAGCAACATACCGGGAAAGGACCTTTAAGATCTGTAAAACAAACTTCATATAAGAAAAATACATTTAAAGTTTAAGCCATTTTTAACTTGCAAGCATTCTTCTCTGTAGGGCAGCCATTTTGCTCTTTAAAAGCAGAACAGTTACTGCTTCTGGTAAACTGCATCTTTTTTTTTTTTAAGTTCTCAGAATAAATTATTTCCTTTAGGTAGAAGAAGGCAGTGATTTGTGAAGAGAAGGAGAAAAATTAAGATGGTGAATGTTCATACTTTCAGAATTTTTCTCACTATCCTGTGTGAAATAAACCATTCCT